GGACAAATTGTTTACAGTTACATTGGAGCTCAACCTGAGACCTCTACTCTATTTTTATTTATTGCCATCGCCTTCAATGTGGATTTAGAAACAGCAGAAAAATGCCCTAAATTCAGATTTTATTCCATCTAAGAGTGTGTAACCAATAATATGTGATGAATATCCTTCAAATAAAGATGCTGTGTTTTGATATTTGGGTGATTAGCATGAAAGAAATCGTATAGGAATATGATTCCATTTGCATAGCTGTCTATGTTTTGCAATGCGCAGATTTAACTTATTGTATTACATGTGGCATTAGACTAAGAGAATTATCTTTCATTAGCATTAACATTGACATGGTGACTGACTGCTGTCCAATAACTGACCGGGGACAGAGAACGGTAGGGCTGTGCCTTCCTTAGGATGAGACGTTAAACCAGACGTTAAAGCAGGTCCTGACCGACCAGAAAGCGAGTGTCCACGGTACTTTTTAAAAGTATTGGGAAGTTAACCACGGATTCCTGGCTTAATTTCCACTCTGGACTTTCACAATCTGGCCATTCTTAAGTTCCTCCCTTATCAAACTGGTAGAGCGATTTCACTACTTTATAAATCTAATAAGAATTTTACACATCTAAAGTAACTGATTACAAATATTTTCCAGACTTACTATATTGGGATCACAATAATGGAAAAAAATAAATCTAGTTTAAAAAATGTGTTTAATGAAATAATAAAAATCTTTTGACAACAGCTTTTATCTGTTTCAAAGTTGTTAACCAATCACTACTTGTCACGCTGTTTGGGGATTTTTCAGTTTTGTCTGCTAGAATGCTAATTTCCTTTTTTTCCAAATATGCTTGCCATGGATTAAATAAAATGATTCATTATGTGAATCTTGGATAATACAGACAGTTGTGATTTTTTTTTAACCAAAGAATGTACTATCTAACAAATTTTGAATTAAGTGCAAAATCGTGAACTTTGTCAAAGTACTGTATGGTTGCCATGTTGCCACTGGCAGAACAGAAACCTCTGGTCTCGCCACGGGTGGGAGCAAGAATTTGTGAGGATTGTGATGTGAAACTGTCCCTTTGTGCTCACTAGTTGCAATAAGTAAATGAAAAACATGGTTTACTAACAATACTAATCCTTTTTTTGACTTTTTGAAAACTACATACAGAACATATATTTCAAATTATGCCTCACTGTCGAGCATTTGTCTGTTCAGAATATAGTGGACAAACACATTACAAAGGACCTGATCAGCAGAAAGTCAAACTGTTTCCTTTTCCAAGGGATATTCAGCTAGCCAAGATGTGTAATAAACATGGGCACTGATGTTTATTACACATCCCAAGTTTCTGGATGAGATTCCGTGTGATGTACAATAATTGTAGGTTGCGCAGCAGACATTTTACCACAGAAATATTTAAATGTGATCTGCACCCTGAGTTAACAGGTAAGTAGTATTTGTTGGCAAAAATGTCTCATGGTCGATATGTTGAATTCATCTCAATTGCACTCATTCATATCAGCTGTTTGGGTGAAGATAAGAGCTAAGTCCTGCTAGACTTTTCATAACCTCCAATGTAAATGATAGACCACCTCTGCAAAACTTGAAAATGAATATGAGTGTATTTTAGTTGTTTGGCAGGTTGCTCTTTTTTAGTATCTGAAAAATGTCACTTTGTACGTGTAGGAAATTTGCTGAGATAAATATAAAATCACCTGACTTCTTAAAAAAAAATACAAGCTAATTAAATAAACCGATCCCACATACTCTGCTGCACTATTTTGGTTTTTCGAAGTAATCAGTACAACCACAGAGAAAATACTGCTCAGACATGAATTCCAGACCTTTGGGCTTGAAGAGGGAACTGCTTGCAGAGATGCTGCTGATTTGTAGCAAACTGAGGACATCCCCAGCCCTGAATGTGCTTGGCAAGTTGCACATAGTGTCTTGGAAAATCAAGGCCACAGCTTTGTAAAAACAGCTCCCCATCACAAAACTGAAAATGCAAGAACTATAACACTCAAACTATAACCCAAAGAAGCACCTTTACTTGTCAAATCACCATGGAGCCCCACCATGGTCTGATGTAAGACAAACCTTCGCAAAGTGTTTAAACCTTTCAATGAGCTCAAGAAATGAGATTATTCCCAGACAAATGCATATTGGCCTATTTAATTTCAAGGCACTGAATTTAAAAGCAGTCACATCATTTGATATTAAGCTTTAAGAGAAATAACAGTAAAACAGTAGGATTGCCAGAAGCTTTATGTTGATTTCTGA